ACAGGGGTAGCTGTACTCCATACAGCCTGTTTTGAGGCTAGCAGGCCTCCCTAAAGCCCCCTGGGACCAAAAACGGTGTTTGTGGGGTGTGCCCTCCCACATTTCATCTGCCCCCCCACATATGTGCATGACCCCCACCTCCTTGAACATTCGTATGTGTCTCCCAAAAATCAGCTGGCTGGTGGAAGGCGTATGTGCATACGCAGTGGAGCTGAGCTAGGGTGACAGCTCGTATGCCCGCAGAGAGGGCTCTGCATGACATAGGTTTGCCATCACAGTGCCAGGTGATTAGGAGCTGGGGCAGGTGACAGGAGATCATCCCATTACATGTTGCTCAGGTTTCTAACCAAAACTCAGCTGTCCAGATGACAAGCTCAGTGTTTTTAACCACTGAGTCATCCTGCCCACATTGATAGATGTTGCCAAGGAAAGATCTGTTTGAATTTAAAAAAGCTGCACAGGGGTACTGTCAGATCTCTAAAAGTGATACTGCCATTCAATTGGGAGGAGGGGAGCCTTGGAGTTAAATCATTAGCTACATCTGAAACAACTGAGTTTTACAACTTTACAACTGGTTTCCTGTCACCAGGAGATAGCCATGGGAACATGTGTTTAGGGCAAGAGAGTTAAGGAAGCATCTTTACACTTGTCTATTGGTCAGAATCTGCATTCAGACAAAGGGGAGGGAGTCATTATCAGATTAATCCCATTTGCATGACCTAAAGGTTTTCAGATGCTGCTTTGCCTCTAATGGTTTCCATCTGCCTGATTAAAGGTTCCTTTTGAAATAATCCGTTTCAAGAGTCTTTACTTTCTCAAGTTAGGAGAGGAGTCATTACAGAATGCTTTACACTAGAAAAAAATAACTGTTACATAACAAAACAAAACAAAAGCCAAAACAAAGCACCATATAATTTTAAAAAAATTGCTAGAACTTTAGGAAGTTGTGATCATGTAAACTGTAGCTTTTATACTGAACAGCATTAGATTTGAAAGGCGTAATTATTTTTAAATAAATTATTAAATAAATTATTTTATTGATTTTACAGTAGAGATATATACATTATATATCTTTTGTTTTACAAAGATAACTAGCATTATTTGCTAACAAAACACATATTAATAGTATGCTCTTTAAAAAAAAGGATTGAAAATATTTTTAATAATAGAATTTTAACTTTTTAAAAAAGATATTCCAACATACAAAGGCAAAGAATAATTTACATGCATTATTTAGTTTCCAACATATATAGTTTCTGAAGATAATTTGGCATGGAATCCAAATGAAAGGAAAATTGTTCCATTAGAAAAAATTACATATTGCAACAAATTACATATTTTGTGTCTGTGATTATTATTTTTATTTATACTCTTTGCAAATATTTAAATACTAATATGAAAAACCCAAATCAGAGTTCTATTTAAAACAGGTTTGCTAAAAAATTAATTCAAAAGATTTTAGGTTTTTTTTACATTTGTAGATATGGTATACATAGAAAAATCAGTGTCTAAATATTTTACATACCTTTTGTTTGATGATCATGTCATTGATTTCATCAAGATCACTGACATTAACTATATGGGATTGTATCACTCGATCCAACAGAGAAAGCCAGTCATTGAGATCTGCCCATGCCTTATTGAAATCAGCCAGGGCTGGTACCTCTAGAAGCAAAGATGATGGCATTTCTTGTTTGGAGATAGTAGTTTCCTTGGATACTAGAGTTTCTGTAACCACAGTAACAGTTTGGTTAAGAAATTACTGTCAAAGGGAAAATGTGTTAATACATTTATTTGTAATGGAAATCATGTTTGCATTATTATTTATTTCAATTGCCCTCATTAGCAGTGTAGTCAGCTTTTTGTTTTGTTTTAATAATTAACATGTATTTATGTGATTTGGGCATAGTGATAGCCCTTTAAAATGGCTTTTTGCTGGAGAAAAAGAAAGTAAAACTTAATTTGCAGATCAAACAATTAAATTATTCTATTTCTCCATAGCCTTTTGACCTTCTTAAACCTGGATTTTTTAAAATTGCCATATCACCATGGAAAACTTTAACTAGCTTCTGATTTCCAACTGACAAACTGACTCTCTAGCACTATTTCCATTATGAGATGTACAGAAAGATGAACAGATTCAAGAGGGGTTGGGGACAGACTTAGAGCCCAACTACTTTCCCTAAGAGTAGCTATTTAGGTTTAGGCTTATTTTCAAGTATAAATGTAAATATAACCTTCAAATTGATCAGAGACATATCTAGCCCCATTTTATTGTATAAAAAGATTTTGTTTCACAAACTGCAGCCCAACAGATGTATTTATTTATTTATCATATTTATATATTATTCTTAACATTTCTTCCCATGATTACAGTAAAAATTCAGAAACATTAGAGTTTCCTAAAAACAGTAACAACTACAACAACAGTATCACATAAAAAGTAAGCATTTCCTAAATTTGGAATTATATGACATGGCCCTTTCATGGAAATCTGAAACTAAGTTTATAGACCATTTCAAAATTGTCTAACAGTAGTAGGGACTTCAAATACTACTTTATAAGTATACATAAAGCTGACACCAGCCAGAGCATACAACTCAAAGAAGTAGTGCAAGATTGGAAGATGTGGAGAGACATGGCCCATAGAATCACCAAGAATCTGACAAAACTGAATGGATATTATCATCATGTATATATGTGATGCCCAAAGAACACCCAAATAAACATGTAATAAATATAAACTATGTGAATGACTAGAGGAAAAAGTAAAGAATCTAGAGACAACTCCAACCTATGCAAAAAAGCTATACTGAAATTGAAGCAAATAATGAATAACTCCCAAGAATTTGATCCTGCTGATAAACGCTTGGAGGAAGACAAATGGAAGTATGTCACACATAGAAGGAAACACAATAATCAACTGCCCAATTTAACTCAACCAGAAACAACCCCATTAAAACTGATCAATCAATTTCTTCCTCTAGATGAAAATAGACAGGCCCACACACCCTCTCAAAGAAAACATGCAAACGTCTACAAAAGAGACATAATCAAATATCTCTTAAAAAGCCACATCAACAAACACACCTGAGATGAAGACTGGAAGCGAGACAATCAGAAAATCCATGGGCTCTAAAGAGCTTCATGTAAATTCTGGCTGACAAACTGCTGCTGGGAATTTTCGGATCAGAACTTTTCTGTAGGGAAAGTGAAGAAGGAGCTGCATCTCAATAGACCAGGAAGAACATAACTGGTTCCTTGCAGGTCAGAGATTAGCTCTCTGAATTGGCGGCAGGAAAGGCGGCATTGTAAAATGGCTGCTACAAAGCTACGGCATCTGGACTAAGCATTGAGCAGGAGCGGTGATTGGAAGGAGTGTTGAGATCTGGTGAGAAGATTTAAATAACCAACTGATACAAATCAGAATTTGGAAACAGGAAAGAACCTTTTGAGTAGAAAATAATATTAACAGAAAGATTGGAAATTTGGCAAAAAGGGAAGAAAAAGAAGGGAAAAAATTGTGGTTTAAATCATTAAGCCCAAAGAGAATTGCTTGTTTTAAATAACTTGGAGATAGAAATGAGAATTGTCAAACCCATTGAAATACAAAGCTTTGAATTTGGATTTGAAAAGACTGTGTTTTTAAAAGAGATTAATTGACATTTGGGAACCTCACAGAAAAGAAGGAGGGGGAACAGAGGATAAATATCGATACTAAGGAGACTTGCTTTATTCTAATATGTTCTAATTTACACATCTTAAGCACATCTTTTACCTCTTTTAACTAGAGGTAAAAAATAATAAGAGGAAAAATCAAGAAGAAATGTTGTTTCTCCCGTTTGCAATTTTATCTTTTTTTGATTTAAAACCTCCAAGATGTACCTTTGAAAATCATTGAGTTGAAAGAATAGAGGAATGGAGCCATTTGCAGGAGGGAAGAAAACACTAACCGAATAACAAAGAAAGCAAAATGTCACCATTTAAGGAGGTTTTGATTTTGCACAGATCATTTAATTTTGCATCTGGACAGCTGTGGAAGAAAAGAAGAATGTCTTCTTCTTTTTTTCTTTTTAGCTGAACTGGAATATTGGAACTGGATTAGAATTGGAAAATAAGAAGAAACTGTGGAACTGAAATTATAATTATATGACTGAGATTTATTATAAAAGGGCAAAAACTGTAGATTTTAAACTGGACACTATGAAAAGTTGAGAATTTAAAGAAATACGTGAGATTATAAAAAATATGCACGAGTCACTAAAATTAAAATTAAATAAAATTCTGAATTTAAAAATTGAGGAGAAACAAGAAGTGAGGGAAGAAAAGGGGAAAAAAAAGTGGAGCTACAGAAAAAGCAATAAAAACAAAAAAACAGACAAAGTATTTCACTGGGTTTGACAGTGGCACAGGGAAAATTTAAAAGGGGGGATATGTCCCAACAAAGAAAGGGAATGGGATTATAGAAGAAAGGAAATGGCCAGACAGGCATAGAGAAGAAAGGAGTGATAAGAGAAAAGAGGGTAAGAAGACAGGGAGACAGATAACTTTGAGGGGGAAACGCCAAAAGATGCAACAGAGGTTGATGAAAAAGTCAGGGAAGGAAGAATATACAGCCAGTAGAAAGAAAAAGCAGAGGCTTAGAGTTTGGGATAAAAGGCTCACTAAGAAGAAGTGGAAAGGATAAGGGGGGAAGAGAAGATTGACAGGAGAGAGGAAGAAAGGAAGCATACACATATGTATACAGAAGTACATATATTAATATGAATGATTAGCTAATTGGATATTTAGAAATTGCTATGTGGAGAATATAAAGGAGAGGTATGTGATTTGTTCTTTTACATGATAGTTAAACTGATTTGCTAATTGATTGAATAACAAGGATGATAATGAAAAGATATTTAAATATAAGTTAAAATATTTGGAATATAGATATATATATAGAACTTTTAAGGAGATGAATATAAGTGAGATGCATATTGCCTGCCATGTTAAATAGCAGATTAATGGAATGTAATAAGCATTGAATAGCAAGGATTGTAACTAAAAGATAATTAAATGTAAACTAAGTAAAGATGTGGGGAAAACTTGAAATATATTTGTAATGGAAAAATTACTGAGATTATAACGAGAGAACTAAAAACTTGGCCTAGGCCCAGAGCAGCCGAAGCCGAGAGCGGGTTTGGATTCCCCTTGCAGCGCACATAGAAGGACCGTTCAGGTAAGTCAACGGTCATTCTCCTGTGCGCTGCTTGGGGAATTCAAGCATGGGACATGCCAAAGTAGTACACTTCATGGGCAGGAGCGAGGCTGGTCTGGTCCTGTAGCTGAAGAAGCTACACTTTGCAGCACGCGCTGTCCAAAGGATGCCTCAGCCGAGGCATAAACGTCCACCTTGTAGTGATAGATAAAGGGTGATGGCGATGACCAGGTCGCTGCCCTGCAGATGTCTTCCACCAAGGCCTGCGTTGCCCAGGCCGCCGTTGCAGCTGCACTCCTGGTAGAATGGGGAGTGATACGACTGGAAACTGGTCGGGACTGGCAGTCATAGGCTAGGGCAATACACACCTTCAATCAGTGGCCGATGGTATGCGATGATGCCTTGTGGCTCATGGTGGCAGGTTGGAAGGACACGAACAGGGTCTCCATCCTTCTGAACGACGCAGTGTGTCTCACATAGCGGCAAAGTGAATGACGAACGTTGAGATGATGCCAACGCCATTCTCGGGGGTGAGATGGCCGTGGACAGAAATCTGGGAGAGTGATTTCTTGGGACCTGTAGAACCATGAGTTGACTTTCAGAATAAAGGTCAGGTCCAAATGTAATACAACCTTGCTCGGATGGAAGTTGCAGAGGTCGCCTCGGACGGATAGCGCCACCAACTTGGACACACACCGGGCCGATGTAATGGCTACCAAAAAGGCAGTCTTAAGAATCAGTAACCTGAGGGAGATGGTCCGAATAGGCTCAAATGGAGCCGCCGTAAGAGTATTTAGTACTAGGGAGAGATCCCAGGTGGGATAGCAATGAACAATAGGCGGGCTAAGGTTTGCCAGTTCCTTCAGGAAGGGCTGTCCCCCCCCCCAGGTGTTGAGCTAGGGGTTGGCCTTGCCCACTGCCAATTATGGTAGAGAGAGTTGCAATTTGACAGCAGAGGGTGTTAGGTGTTAGTCCTTTGTCCATGTCCATCTGTAGGAAGTCCAATACCTGTGGTATGATCTCCCCGGTTGGGTCCTCATCCATTGCCTGACACCATCTGCAGAATGCTCTCCAGGTAGCTTTGTAAATGCTGGTTGTTGATGGGTGGTGAACCGCCTGGATTGTGGAGATGACCTTATCAAAGAAATGCTGCTGACTCAGGATCGCCCACTCAGGTGCCACACGGTTAACTGTAACAGCTGTGGATTCGGGTGGATGAGAGCTTCTTGCGAGAGGAATATCCGGTTGTCCGGAATTCTTCATGGGAGAGAGACAGACAGATGGACAAGGTCCACGTACCAGGGGCATCGTGGCCACATCAGCGCGACCAGCAGCACTTCCGCCTGATCTGTCAGAATCTTCTGGATGACCAGCGGCACAATTGACAGAGGCAGGAAGGCATAAAGGAGGCTCACCAGCCAAGGGCTTCAGAGAGTATCGGTGCCTTCCACTCCTGGTACCTGGAACCTGGTGTAATAATGTGGCAGGTGTGTGTTATTGGGTTGGGCAAAAAGATCCACCTGCGGAT